TGAATCACTAATGTGATCTACAATTCTACATACAACATAGTTGAGAAAATGAGGGTTTGCCATATTTCAATATATATTTTTATTCATATTATTAAGAGTATATATAATATATATAATTAAAAATTAATTAGTAATTAAAGATATGCGATTTTGGAGAATCATTACAACCTTTGGGTAACATCAACAGCAAGAATAACCAAATTGATTCGTTCGACAAATTCCACTTCTGTAACCTGTAGAAATGCATCTTTCAATGCAATGTGGTGTTCCACTACATCCCTCCGTACATAAATGATTTTGTCCTATTTCATTTTAAAAACCAATTAAAAAGGCAACAATAATCAGATTTAATTTTGTTTGTATCTTAATTGCAACTAGGAGATTGGCCCGCACGTACGTGCAGGAACAGTTTTTAAAATATAATTTGTTAGATATAATATTTAGATCTATCTCAAATATTTTAATTTTTGTAGTATATAAAACTCAATGTCAGTAATAAATTATAAGGTTTTAAATTTAATTGTAAAAGATAATTTAATTTTAACTAAACATTTTGCTATAACAAATTGTCCAAATATTTAAAACAAAGCTAAAAAATAATAATCAACACAAAATTTATATTTTTTTCATAATTGGGCTTTGTAAAACTTAACCAAGGTTGGATATTGGTTATTTATTTTCTATTTACGGATCAAGCAAACATATATCTCTAAGTTTTATCTTTTCTGTCTTTTTTTTTCGTCTGCAATTTTTCTTGGCCTTCCTCCTGTGGCATAACCATAGAATATAAGCTATGTACAAAGCTTAATTTTAAAAAGTTTATGGATGAAATACTTACGTTTCTGCAAAACAGGTGTTCCAATTAGAGTACTCAAATTATCAGAAAAAGATGTTTTTACTGGTTTGCCTCCTGTAATTAAAGTTAAAAAAAAATCATAAATATATAGAATAAAAATTCGTTTATGTATGATTCCACTAACTCTTTTGAATCAGAGGTGATTGATCATCTGAAATTTTTTTCGGTCTTCCACCTATTATTGAATGTAATATAACGATTATTAGCACAGTTACGTAAAAGTTGTTATCGAAAGTTAATAATACCACTTACGTTTTTTGGGTGATGGTTTGACACTTTTGTTTTTTTTGTCTGTTGATGATCTCATTGGTTATTCCTGTTTACTTCTAAATTGTTTAGCACATTGAAAAAGTTATCTTCGAAGAAACATTTTTGGCTCATAAAAACAAAGATTCATCGCAGTTCAACATTTTTTGTTTAATCTGTTGTTGAAGTTATGATATATTTTTTCGAAGATCACAAGATATTCTAAAATATCTAATAAAAATTTACAGATGGTTTTAACCTATTACAATTATTTAAATCATAACTAAAATTCTAATAATAATTTTTTTTTCTGTAAACAATATTTTCGGTTGTTACTTATAGATATGATCCAACTGAAAATATATACAGATTAATATTCTATTTTATGCAAAAAAATTTAGTTTAATTCAGCATAGCAAGTAGACTAATCTCTATAGTAAGTCCCATTTTGAAAGTATTAGAAATAATAAGTCCAAGGTTTTCTTATATTTACAATAATATTTATTATATTTACTCTTTTTCATATATTTGAACAACTTTTTTTTTGTCAATATTATTTGGAATATTAATTATACAATTGTCATTTAAGAAATTTTGAATTAGGATTTGAATTGTTTGATACTCAGCTAATGGTTTTTGTGAACTTATTTATATAAGAACCCCATTATTTAACTTGTACATTATATAAGGATTGTTTTTTTGAAATGCAAATCTGTTACAATCTTACCAGTTGGCATATTTTTGTATTGGTTATTATTTTAAAATTTTTTTGAATAATAATATTGTTAAGAAACTAACAAACTGAACAGTTCGACAGTTACTGTTGCAATAATAATATTGTTAAGATACTAACATCTTTAACATCTTCTTTATTTACCATGAAGCTAAATAACAATAGACATTAAATGTTTCTAATAATCTCGACTACGCTCAGAAATGTAAAACATGAAATACATTAAAGAGTGTTAATTGGAGTGTTGCATATGGCTTCATGTATATGAGCTTTTATTCATGTGTTATTCTTTTGCAGACTCATAATGTAATCTGTAAACCTGAACCACCTGAGATAATCACTTTCTCACTTCTCATGCCAAACCAATTTGTGTTGGATGCTTCAGTCCTCGAGGAAAATCTAAAATCTATAATATCTTGAGAGCCTTTTGCGGAATACACTTGAAATGAAATTTATTTTTCTTAATAACAAAAACAACAATGTCGACAAAAACAATTAAAACTTGGAATAGTATAACGTTTTCAAATTTTTAAGAAAATGATTATAATCACAAAAACGAATTAAAGTTGGAAACTGTACCTGCTGCCCGAAGAGAGTGACCATACTGATTTGATTCTGCTTAAAACTTTCTTCATATGATTCAAAACGTTTCTTGGACAAACCGTGAAAATACATCACAACACTTCTTTGTCATATTTACTCCACGGCTCGTCCCTATCAAATTGCAATCAACGATGAAGTCCATAAACAAAAACCTCACCAACTAAATCATTATGATAATTAAGAACTGTGACATTTTAAAGAAAGCTGGCGCTTTCTCTTGCCTCTCCTACTTTATCTACATTGCCACATAAATTCGAACAGAGAAATCGTGAGCTCTTATCAAAATCGTCACAAAGAAAAAAATTAACAATTATTTTAACTAAATAAATTAAACACATAAATGTTTTTTGTCATGTCATAATTCACATGTGCTTGTATATGCCAAGTCACAATTACATCATCATTACACATCATCATTTCCATGTCACATTTAATTAGGTTAGATTGATGTTTTTAACCAATGAAATTAAAACAAATAAGCATAATTCATTAATCTACATTGTCAATTAATAGGTAGGAGATTATGCAGAGGAAACAATTTTTATTTTGTGATTTTGATTCGTTCTATAAAAATATATCAAAAATTTAAAGAAGTATTAGTTGAAACAAACAAAAAAATTATTTGAGAAATTATATCGTTAAAAAATATAATATATTACCTAAAATCTATACTAAATGAAAGCACTTGTTTGTTTGAGGCTTTTTAAATTAGTCAGCTCAACAAATTTAGAGTTCTCCAACAAGCAGCCACGTCATCACTTTTTTATGTCATTTAAAATTTTTTCATACTATTTAGAGTATTTTCTTTTACTAAATCTAAACCAACCAAACTAACTTTTGGGCTTATTGTTGATCTAATGCAATACTAAAACATAAGCCCAAACAAAATAGAAAACATGTCAGCCCATCCAAATCTATGTATCTCTTGCAACAAAACGATTACTATCCCTACCCACAGCAGTGCAAATGCAATCGATTCGCCTTACTCACTTCAAACTATTGCACGATAGTTACCACTTGATCTCTTAAATCATTCTATAATTATGTTCAATTGCTTTCAATTAATTCCCACTGCGTTGTCTTTCAAACTTCCTTTCAAAGATGATTATAAATTATTCTTCTCACAGCTAAACAATCACACCATCTCCCACCCAAAACAAATTTACAGAACCAACTATGGCTCCACGACCTACAAGCCTACAACTGCCTATCCCAAGACACTCACCCACAAAACGTTTGATGACTTCTATTGAAATTTCTGTAAAGAAGAAGTGTTGGTCATGGCAGTAGACTCATGGGTGCAGATTCTTCACATTGACACAGAGATATGGATAAGATATACACAGTATATTATTGACTTTTCTGACCCCTAATCAAATCCACAGTCAACAACGATGCAGGGATTCATGTAGGCCAACCTTCGTATAAATATCTGTATTTTATGGTGATTTAGGCTTGACGTAGCAAAAGCTTTCTATAACTCACCATCTTTGATCTCTTAGCGAATATACACACGAACACACACACATGATATGTATGTAACCAAAAATTATATTCTTAGTATGTTTAAAAAAAGTTTTAAACTCTGTAACATGGGATGATATATATATATTAGGTATGCCTTCCACAAAGCCTAGATAAGAATATAGAGACATTATATGAGATGTTTAGAAAGGCTTTACTTCAAAAGTTTCATCTGCGACCATTTTATTTTAGTTTTTTATGAGAAGGATTTTAAAATGCTCCCTGTAACTATAATATTTTTTTTCACCGGATCACTCTCAGCCACCGGTTTTGTCACAAAATTTTGAACTGTCATAAAATTTGATGCTTATATCCGACTTTCTTCTTCTTTTCAAAATCTTAACAAGAGAAAATAAAAGTATGCAGATAAGTATTTTCCTTTTAATTTACATTCCATTCACACATGGTCAACCTGCCAAAACAGCTCATTAATAGATTGATATCAATACAAAACAATTACAATAAGGTAAAAGCTACTCTCCAACGGCACCTAAATCATGACGTACCTTTTTATTTAACTTTTGTACGTGTTTTTTTTCAGGTTGTTGCAAGTTATTATTTTAAACGATTATGTAAACTGCATTTTCTGTTTACCTGCTCATGCAGTGTACACATATGTAAATCTGGGAAACAATGATAAATGCTATTTAGAATCATTAGAGCATTGGTGTTACAAATGAAAGCCGTAAAGGCAATTCAAATGAGGCACTAAAATTTTTTGACTATTAAATATAGGTCACAAACATAGCCTTTCTTACATATGTTGCAAAGTTGGGAATCAAAATTCATCTCTCAAGAATTAGGAAATAAGGATAACCATTAAAGAGATGGATGTATTCTTAGGTTGATGGATTCTAAATCTTTATATTTTTCTAACACAAAAGTACCGATTAATATCCCTTCAAACATGTTTAAGATGGTTGTTTTAGAGTCTGATTCATTTTCGACGCCACTACATAATTGTTTTCCTCTTCTCGAAGTTTGGATTACTCTAAATGTTTAATTCAACCCACTACAGACATTTTAGAGCATCCACAATGGTAAACTTCATGTTGAGGTTCTTAAATATATTTTAACATTAAATATACTATTAATTTAAGATAAGAGCTTTATAAATTTTTTCTTAACTTTGAGATCTACATTGGAGAGATTATATAAAGTTCTTAAAAAAAAAAATTTAATGTTTTATTTGTGATCAATTTACCAAGTGATGAGGATCCATTTCTTTATGCTCATCTCCCTAGAAAACATTAGAAGACCTGTATAATGCTTCTCGTTGAACCATCCTTGTCTTACAAATCTGCTGACAAGCTTGCAAGTAGCTGGATACAGATAGCAGAGCTTTCTTCACTGTCAAAACATTTCTTTATCATCAAACACACACTTTTTAAAGACCATAACAACACATTTTTCTTAACTTTACTACATGTTTATCAAATTAATTCGTTGGCATAAAGAAAGCAACATGGAGGTAACTTTAGTAATTCCAACAGATCAATAGCCTGCAGCGAAGTTCAACCATCAGATAAAGCCACATCTAGTCACAAACCATAAAATTCTGATTAAATGATTTTTAGACCAACCTTGCAAATAGCCAAGTTAATCGTGGAGAGCCACACCTGCAAAGAAAATCCAGAGTTCCCATTTGTGATGGCTACTTTTCTGCAAATCACAAGCACCTAAAAGTGTAGTATCATCAACATTAAAGAGAACACCTTCAAGTTCGAAAATAATAACTAATCAGCTCTAACTTGAATACATTACTCTACTTAACCAAAAGGTTGATCAAGTTAGCCTAAGGGAGAAACAAATTGAAGTCTTAGCAATCTTGGCAAAATGTTACCGGCATGCTGCACAAGCTCATAAAGCTCTGCAATGGAGCAACCACGCCATGTCTCATCCCTAAAGAAACTCTCCAATTTCTTCAGTTCATCGAAAGCTCGAATTGCTGAACAAATCATCAGATCGCTAGTAAGAAGAGGACAACAATACACAAGAGCTGGTTCCCCGAATCCGAAATAGAGGAAGAGGGCAACGAGACTCACAGAGTTCATAGTATTTATGAGGAGAAAGCTTGGAAGTACTAAGCTCGCTGAGCATTGAATCCACGCAGATGCTCAGTTCCAAAGGATTTCTATATAAACACATGAGACACTAATTAAGCAACAATGATTAACGCAGAGATGTTTTCACAAAGAACAAACCGGAATCATAAACAGTTCCTTCTTTTCACAAAATTGGATCGCACTGTATCGTTTTCAAGGTTCCAATTCTTCTGATACCATGACAAGCTTCAAGTAAGCAGGAAATCTAATACACAGAACGAAGAAAAGAGATCAAATAAGCCAATGGGAATAACAGAGACTAACCGTAGAGGGGAAAGAAGTGGGATTCTCTTAGCGGTGGCTCGGATTTGGCTTAAGAGGCGAAGCAGCCCGGAGCATCGATCTGGCACCGGAGATGACGGCGAAGATGGCCATCGGGAGAGAAGCTGAAGAGAAGGTAAAAAAAAAACTACAGTTGCCAGGAGAGGTTTGTGGAGGTGAAGGTGAACCGATGGCTTTCGATTACGATCCGCCACCTCCTCCTCAGTCGCAAATTGCAATTGCAGTTGCAAATGTTAGAACTTAAGGATTCTTTGAAATCTTTTGTAACTAGTACTAATAGACATAGTAATTATTTATCAAAATCGAAGTTAATTTAAATAAAAAATAAATAGTCAAAATAGATATACAATAAACATTTGTTATATATTGAAAGTATGAAAGTTATTATACAAAATTATAAAAAAATTTCTTTTTTAGAATAAATTTTTATTAACTGATTTAATAAAATTATCAATATTCTATTTATAATTTTGTATAATATCGATAAATCTTTATTGATTGAGTCAAATTATTTTACGGAATATTTCTATTTCTTTTATTCTTGTCAAATAAGGAATAAAGATTTTTGGAATATTTCTGTTTTCTCTGTCAAACATGAAATAAAGGTTTTCAGAATATTTCCGTTTTTTCCTTAACCTTGTCGAACAAGGAACAAAGATATTCGGAATATTTCTGTTTATCTTCGGTGAGTAATAAGAAAAATTCCTTGTACCACAAACCTCTATTCCACTATAAATAAGGACCTCTCTCATTCATTATTGATCATCCAGAAAAGCAATAAGCTTTCAAACACAAAATCTAGCAAATCCCTCTCGTCTCTACAGTCTTAGGTGAGTCTCGAGAGTATAGCGTAGATTCTTAAGTTCGCAGATTCTATAGTCGGGTGCTGCGACTTTAGTCTCAACACGGTTGTATCCTGGGATTCTGAATCTCTTCAAACCGCCACACTGCGGGAGATTTAAAGAACTAAGGAAAGAGATAATATCTCGACTCCGTGTTTTTCGTCTCTTTTCTTAATCGTTTTATTCAATCGTTTTATACTATATTATTATTTAGATGAACCTAGACGTGGCAAGAGAGCACGCAAGGAAAAATCTTTTGGTGATGATTTCTTAATGGTATTTCTCACAGAGAATGAGCCGAGATCATACACAGAAGCCATGTCTACACCTGATGCATCGTTCTGGAAAGAAGCAGTTAATAGTGAAATTGATTCTATAATGCAGAATCATACCTATGAGATCACTGATTTACCTCAAGGTTTCAAAGCGCTAGGGTGTAGATGAATATTCAAAACCAAGTTGAAAACTGATGGTTCAATTGAGAAGTACAAGGCCAGACTTGTGGTTCAAGGATTCAGACAAAAAGAAGGTCTAGATTTCTTCGATACATATTCTCCAATAATGAGAATAACTTCAATAAGAATTCTGATAGGAGTTGCAGCCCTAAGAGGACTTGAAATCCATCAGATGGATGTAAAAACGGTCTTTCTAAAAGGTGATCTAAAAGAGGAGATTTACATGAAGCAACCCGAAGGATTTGTGGTCCCGGGTCAAGAACACAAAGTCTGTAGACTTGTGAAGTCATTGTATGGTCAGAAACAAGCTCCAAAGCAATGGCATGAAAAGTTTGACAATGTAATGATGTCAAATGGTTTCAGCATAAATGAGTGTGATAAGTGCATCTACATCAAAAGTACTCCTCACAGGTATATATTGCTATGTTTATACGTTGATGACATGCTCATCATGGGAAGTAACAATGATATCATCCAACAAACCAAGACAATGCTTAGTGGTCAGTTTGACATGAAAGACATGGGTCTTGCGGATGTTATCCTTGGCATAAAGATTACACGCACCTCTGAAGGCATCACTTTGTCTCAAGGTCATTATGCTGAAAAGATTCTTGAGAGGCTCAAGGCCTACTCAAACGGAACTGCGAAGACTCCCGTGGATTCGCAACTACACTTGACAAAGAACTCTGGTGAAGCTGTTTCACAAGTGGGATATGCAAGGGTCATTGGCAGTCTAATGTACCTAACCAATTGTACACGACCAGACCTTGCACATGCTGTCAACGTGTTAAGTCGTTATACAAGTAATCCAGGTCATACACACTGGAAAGCCATAACAAGGGTATTAAATTATTTGCGATACACCAAGAGTTATGGGCTGCACTACGGTAAAGAACCAGCATCTTTGGAAGGATACAATGATGCAAACTGGATATCAGACTCAAAGAATTCGAAATCCACAAGTGGATACGTCTTTACTCTAGGTGGTGCAGCAGTATCTTGGAAATCTTCGAAACAAGCTCTGTTAGCAAGATCCACAATGGAATCTGAGTTCATAGCGCTAGACAAAGCAGCGGAGGAAGCATAATGGCTATGGAATTTTCTTGAAGACATCCCCATGTGGAAGAAACCAGTGCCGGCATTGTGAGTGCATTGTGAGTGCATTGTGATAGTCAATCAGCAATAGCTCGGGCATTGAGTAACCTATACAATGGTAAGTCTCGTCACATCCGAAGGCGACATAAGACCATTAGACATTTGATCTCAACGGGTGTAATCTCGGTCGATTACATCAAGTCAGCTGACAACCTTGCGGACCCGTTCACTAAAGGTTTAAATAGAGATCAAGTTTTGAAATCATCAAAGGGAATGGGTTTATTGCCTATGACTAAAGAGGATGTTTGATGGAAACCCCACTTATGTGATTGGAGATCCCAAGATTTAAGTTCAAAGGGACAACCAAATCGAACATAGTCTGATGAAAGCACTGAAAGACATAACGTATGTGTCCATCTCCCAAAACGATGTACAGTGCTCCCTGTAAGTATTAAAGGATAAGTTTTATACTTTTAATGATTTTGAGTCGCTTTCATAATATAGAGTATAACAGGATACTTGTGTATATGTCAGGAGCTCAAAGAAATCACCTAATGAGTGTGAAATACGGCCGTTTATAGGAGGATGAAGACAAGGTTATATCTCCAAGTTCACTCATGACAACGAGACAAGTTCATGTCCACAATGAACACAATAGAGAACTTAGTTCTACGAGAAGATGAGATTGGGTTGTACCTGTTGTCTAAGTTTACATAAAAATCCGGGCGGTTCAAGACATCATGTTCACCTCCTGGCCAAGTAAACTCGACAGATATCAACAATGAATAGTTCAAGGCTGAAATATGCTACTATATCATACACAGTTAATTTTTTGCCTATACTCTCGAAAAAGTCCTAGTGTGTCTGCATAGTCTTTCGAGTTAGTAGAGTCTGCATATGTTTTAGAGTAATTTCTATTCATGTGGGGGATTGTTGGAACTTAAATTTTGGCAATTATGAATTCTATGAAATCTTTGTAATGAGCACTAATAGACAGTGTAATTACTTGTCAAAATCGAAGTTAATTTGAATAAGAAATAAATGGTCAAAGTGGATATGTAATCAAGACTAAAAGTCAAGATGTGCATTTGTTATATATTGGAAGTATGAGGGTTATTATGCAAAACCATAAAAGAATTTCTTTTTTGGAATAAATCTTTATTGACTGATTTAATAAAATTGTCAATATTCCATTTATAATTTTGTATAATATCGATAAATCTTTATTGATTGAGTCGAATTATTTTACGGAATATTTCCATTTCTCTTATCTTTGTCAATTAAGGAATAAAGATTTTTGGAATATTTCTGTTTCTTCTGTCAAACAAGGAATAAAGGTTTTCAAAATATTTCCGTTTTTTCCTTAACCTTGTCGAACAAGGAACAAAGATATTCAGAATATTTCCGTTTTATCTTCGGTGAGTAATAAGGAAAATTCCTTGTACCACAAACCTCTATTCCACTATAAATAAGACCTCTCTCATTCATTATTGATCATCCAGAAAAGCAATAAGCTTTCAAACACAAAATCCAGCAAATCCCTCTCGTCTCTACAGTCTTAGGTGAGTCTCGAGAGTATAGCGTAGATTCTTAAGTTCGCAGATTCTATAGTCGGGTGCTGCGACTTTAGTCTCAACACGGTTGTATCCTGGGATTCTGAATCTTTTCAAACCGCTACACTGCGGGAGATTTAAAGAATTAAAGAAATAGATAATATCTCGACTCCGTGTTTTTCGTCTCTTTTCTTAATCGTTTTATTCAATCGTTTTATACTATATTATTATTTATATAGATTTCAATCGTTTTATATTCGTGATTTTCAATCTGGATTTTCGCAGTCCTACAGCAAATTCAAAAGAAGTGCCATCGGCGAGGGAGATATTGAATCAGGTAAACAGTGTTTAAGAATCAATTCTATAACCTCTTTGCGCAGAGTCGATTCTCAAATATTCACATGCCACATCATATTTTTCTTTTTTCTTTTTTTTTCTTTTTAACTTTAGAACCCTTTAGAATTTGTGCATCGTGGATGCTGGGAAACTAAAATATTATTTTAGATGAAGTGGTAGACATAAAATCTTTCCTATCTTGAAGCCTGAGATCGTGAAGCTTATTTTCCATACCGTACCAGCAACTAGCATGCATCGTAAGAACCAGGTTCATATCTCTGCTACACTCAGTCACATAAATCGCCAAAATAAGCAGTCTCAAGCATATCCAGAGTCGGTCCGACAATTTTTGATGCCCTATTTAAATCTTAAATATTTTTTTATATTGTATTTAACATAAAACTATAGTTAAAAATTTTATTAAAAAAATCCAATTTTAAACAAACAATTTAAATTTATAAATAGTTTGTAATATATATA